ATAAACATTAAATGTGAAACTTTCTGCTTTGTATGAAGTAAAAGTTTTATCAAAAAATACGCTTAAATTTTTAGTTTACAATTAGAAAAATAAATTAATTTAATAAAAATTTTAATTACTTTTTGTTCACTGCAACTGAGATGGTGTTTTTTTGATATGAGGATCATTTTATTGTAGAAGAATACGTTTTTATGCACTAACACTTATTTAAACACACTGCTTGCTACCTTACTCATATCTTTATCTCTGTTTACCACTTATTTAATAACTTGGGCTTTTTCATGAAGCTATGAATCTTATTTAAAAAAATATTTTTTGGAGGACTCAATTGAGTAAATTCTTTTAGCAGTCATGTCTATTTTTTACAGTCAGATACAAGGATTTTATTATGATTAAAACCTATTAAATTTCATATACAACTAAAATTCTAAAAACTTTAGAATTTACAACTGGAGAAGTAGCACCAACAAAATAAAAACCTAAAAGTTTATATCCACCGAGAATTAATTTAGTAAAATACTTACTTTTTAGTTTAATTACTCTCAGTTTAATACAAAGCACCGCTACCCTCACTTAGGTTTCAAAAACTTTTGAGCATTTTCTGAAAAAAAAAGTATGCGATTTAATGAGACGTAACTGTCACTGAATTAAAATTTTGTTTATTCTAAAATATGAAGTTGTAATGTACCTTTAACTTTATTAATACTTACAGATAAAAATTCGTGATCTTGTTGGCGGATTGTAAGAGTTTGACACTTCAGAAAAGTTTAAATTTACTATAACACTTCGGCTGTTTGCCAGTTTTTCTACTCATAGAATCATTTCACAGCGCACCGCACACATTCTTCAGCACACTCTCTATCTTCCTTTTTAAACTTTCCTAAGCAGCAAGAAGTGATCTGGAACTAAAAAAACAAAAGCTGTTTACCTCATATGGCAGCGACACTCAAGATGTAAAAGATTCTGAGGTTTTTCGCGTTATTTTACATTTCAGAAACCTATTATTTAAGTAACAGCTCTCAGGATATAAGCTGATTTACTATCCTGTGAAAGCATAGCTTTTCTACACTAAGAGCTGCAATAAGTTGTCGTATATAAACAGTGTAAAAAACACGCAAAAATGTAGAATTTGATTTCTTTTTTGTAGACATATACAACTATGCATGAGACATTTTTTAGACACAAAAGTCCCAATACATTATCGAAATTAAGCTAAGGTAGAAACTAAGAAAATATTTTGATGAAATTACGCTACTAAACTGATACTGTGTCAATCAAATGAACGCAGTGGTGTAATTGCTCTCTTCTCGGCTACATTTGTTTCAAGAAAGGCAAAAAAATTATACATAGCTTTTTATTTAAAAAAAGTAAATTTGATTTTCTTTTTATGCCACCATTTTAAATTCTGTATTTTCGCATATCTCTGTTGCTGCCTGTATTGCACGACAAATCTTTTAAACTTCAAAAAGAAAAAGTTGATGAAGTTTTACCGAAGAGTAAAACAGCTTTATTTAGAGCACTATTACTTGAATAAAAAGCTTCTAAAATATGCCTAACAAAAAAAAATCTGAATTTTTCCTGCTTTAATTGGACTAACTACCTTCTAGAAAAAAATTTTTATTTTTTTATTTTTTTTTTTTTTAATTTCAGATCAGATGTTGCTGTCCAACTAATTTTAAAGCAAAATTAGATAGGTCAACTGGGAAAGTTCACATATTGGTTTGAATAGCTTAATGCTCAAAAAGAAAGTTGAAAGTTATTGAATTAAAAATTGCTTTAAAAGGGAATAGAACGTTTTTTTGGTTTCTTTTCGCTGCGTTATATGACTCACCGTCTGAAGAAAGTGATTTAGAAAGCACAGTATCTTCAGGCTTACAAGTTGGCCGCTTTTGGCTTACCGAAATTGCTCTGAAACTGAGATTGATAAGTTCTTTTTTGAAGCAACAGAGGAAGTGTTACCAACGTTAATAATTAAAATACTGATTATTCCGTGAGGCAGTTTAAATATTAGTAATATTATAAAAAAATTTTGCTGGTTATCATGTACAGCTTATAAATGTTCACAGGAATACTGCTACTGGTAGAAATTTATTTGTTGAAAAAGAGCTAAATATTTTTTGTTTTTTTTTTTTGATTTTATGTAAAGAATCTTACCTTTCATCACCTTCCAGTGCCACTGATTTTCCTTCAGATCGCAGAAGTTTTTTTGTGTCTTTTTCGAGGGTCAAAAAATATTGCTGAAAATGACTGCGTGTAATAAAACTATTTCAGAAAGTGGAACTCAGAATTTTTATAACTTGTCAGTTTTCTAACAGCAGTAAAAAAACTTGTGCTATGAAACAAGCTCAATGTATTTTTTAACTGATGTTGTGCACTAAATTTTCTTTTGTAGATATTATTTTGTTATGAGATATTGCCTAAACCAAAACTTCTTTAAAATAGAATTAAAAATTGTTTTTTATTCGCAAAAAATAACAAAGAAGAGTCACTAACTTACTTTAGCTTTTTCTTGCAAAGATTTATTAATTTCACCTTCAAACTGTTCCTTCCTAACATCAAGATGACTTTTCGTTTGATTGTACATTTCTCTGCTTTTATTTAAGCATTAGTCAAACTTTCAGAAATAAGCTATTTTGAAAAGCTGAAAAAG